CGCTTGATTCATGCTCTTCGATGTAACATGTAACTTGGAAGCGGTTCCCCGAGATTATGTATGTACCTTGCTATAAATGTATGAGCCATGCCATGAGCCATCAGACCCGAGTGTTCCCTTTCGGGCGAGGCCGGGTGTATTTAGTCAACAAAAGAAGCCAAAGGCACAACAGTTATTCATCAGCCCTTTCTTTCATTCTCAGGAACATGAACAGCATGTCGTCGATATGTCGTCGTTGTTCCTGGTTTGAGCATTGGGGGCGCCACCATTCCAGAACCTTTGTGACTGAAAGAAGAAGGGCCAGTGACTGAAGGGGAAGGGTTACTTTGATGGGCAAGGGATCAGAAAGTGTTGTGTTCTGGAATCCGTCTAGATTGTGGCGAGTGCTTCCCTTGTACGTACTGCGAATGGATGAGTCGGAGAGAATCACGCATCCAATCCCTGTGCGACGCCACAGGATGGAAACAAAGTCTAAAGAAAGGTACATGCATATTGCAGTTGTGTGGCCTCGTGTGAACACGTTCGGAGATGCACTGTGTTACTGTGGCTGTCTGTAGGTCTCCTCCACTCCCCGGGCTCCCTTGGGTTTCTGTTGTCTCACTTCTCCGCTCTCTCACAGCGCCTCCACACTCAAACCTATTAGGTACCTACTCCGTAGAGCCCGCCCAGAGGAGAGAGGGGGACCCATTGGATCCTCTCACACAGTTTGGCTGGGCTGGGCAGGTAATTTTTTTTTTTTAGTTAGGCGATCGACCAGTTGAGCTTGGTGCTTGGTGGGCGGCCCAACAAGTTCAAAAAGTGAGAGAGGAGACTGGACCGACCGAGGGGAACCTCCTCCATAGTACTACTAGTCTGGGCTACCTTTACCTACCGCCCTCTCTCTTCTCCGTGACTCTCTCACTCCCGTCTCGCTCACTCGCTCTGTTTTGTAGGTACAAGCCCAGTGCCCAAATTTTTTCAGACTTATCGCCCCCCACCAGAATTTAGCAAACGTCAACGGCCGCTGCTTTCTCAACTTCCTTTCATCCCTCTCCTCTCAACCTCACCTCGTCCCCAAAAAGACGTTTATCACAAGCGCCTATTCGGATCTTTCATTATCAGACAAAATGGCCGAGCCCATTCGTGGAAAGCGTGCTCAGGACGCCGTGGCTCCGTAAGTTATTTCCTTCTTTACCTTGCAATATCAATCTTCTGCCTTGGATTGTTTGTTTCTTTGCTTGCCCGCCGCTTCACGATCCACGATGCTAACTACCCCACCTTCGACCAGTACGCCTCAGAACACACCCGCAACTGCTGCTCCCATCTCTTCCCACGCTCAACAGCCGGGCGTTGCTAGTATCAAGGAGGGTGAGTGTCTCTTTTTGGTTTTTTCATGACTTGTCATGGACCAATCCCTTCAACACCAGGACCATCATCTAACCCCGCTGTAGAGGATCTGGACCGTGCCGCCGCGGCTTCAGTTTTCGCCCAAAACCCCAAGCTTATCCAGATGATTCAGGGTCGCCTCGGCTCCCTCGTGGGCCAATCTTCGGGCTACATCGAGTCCCTGCCCGCTCCCGTCCGCCGACGTGTCGCTGGTCTCAAGGGTATCCAGAAGGACCACTCCAAGCTCGAGGCTGAGTTCCAAGAAGAGGTTCTCCAGCTCGAGAAGAAGTACTTCGCCAAGTTCTCTCCTCTCTACGAGAAGCGTTCCGCCATTATCAACGGAAAGACTGAGCCTACTGAGGAGGAGATCAAGGCCGGTGAGGAGGACGATGAGCTCGAGACTGAGGATGCTGCCAAGTCTGAGCAGAAGTCCGATGTCCCCGACAACGTTTCCGGTATCCCTGAGTTCTGGCTCTCTGCCATGAAGAACCAGATCTCCCTCGCTGAGATGATCACTGACCGTGATGAGGCTGCTCTCAAGCACCTCACTGACATCCGCATGGAGTACCTTGACAAGCCTGGTTTCCGTCTCATCTTCGAGTTTGCCCCCAACGATTTCTTCAAGAACACCACCATTACCAAGACATACTACTACCAGAACGAGAGTGGCTACGGTGGTGACTTCATCTACGACCACGCTGAGGGTGACAAGATTGAGTGGTTGCCTGGCAAGGACTTGACTGTCCGAGTCGAGAGCAAGAAGCAGCGAAACAAGAGTAAGCGATGATTTTGGGGGTTGACCCCCTTTTTTCTTTGCATCTAGCGGCTAACCCAACTCTAGACACAAAGCAGACCCGAATTGTCAAGAAGACCGTTCCTACCGAGTCATTCTTCAACTTCTTCTCGCCACCCAAGGCTCCCACCGAAGACGATGACGATGATGCCGAGTCCGACATCGAGGAGCGCCTCGAGCTCGACTACCAGCTCGGTGAGGACATCAAGGAGAAGCTCATCCCCCGCGCCATCGACTGGTTCACCGGTGAGGCTCTGGCTTTCGAGGAGATCTCGGACGATGAGCTTGATGGTGCCGATTTCGACGACGATGATGATGAGGACGAGGATGACCTGAGCGAGGAGAACGATGACGAGGAGGAGTCTGACGACGACGTACGTTACCTCGCAGCAAACCCTTTGTCGATATCTAGGACTAAACTAACTTTTATCTGCAGGATGAGTCTGGCAAGCCCAAGCAGGAGGCTGCTGAGTGCAAACAGAGCTGAGCGGCGCGATAGAGCGCGACGTAACGCATATTCTGACTCATGACATGATTGGCTTTTATCGGGTTTAAGGATTTCATCTAAGTCACCGACCTACTCGGAAGAAAAAGGGTGGGCGGTGAACGACGGGAAGAAAAAGGCTACAGAAATGGGAAGCGGTTGAAACAGGTCGGCGTTCCAGCCGGTGCCGTTTTTCAGAACAAAAAAGGTAGCATCGTCATTTGATAGGCATCGTTTGCAAGAAACAAAACCTATGGTTTTTGCAGGCAAACTCTGGGACTGGAAACCACGTTGATAGACAGACACACAGCCAGAGGGCACAAGTCGGCCCCGCGCGATTATTATGTTGCCCTCCTCTTTTTTGCAGCCTTTTTCTCTTACTTCGTTTTCAGGGGTTCTCTGTCTTGTGTTTTGTTTTTTTGCAAATAACGCTGATTTTTGTTCCTGGCATGGATGTAAGGTAGTGACTGAAGGGTTGGTTCTTACAGGGCAGGGAAGGGTGCAAGGGTTTTACCAGGTGCATAATATATAGAGAATGATTCTGCCATGATGCAATAATTTGTATGTTGTTGCAGTAATATTACCGGCTTTGTCTGTGTACTTTTTGTTTGTTCGTCTTTGTCTTTGTTTACTTTGTTTTGGCGTAGTGGCTGCATACTTGTGTCTATCGAAATGCGGTGAGATCGTTATTACCACCACGGAAATGCAAGACATGTTTGGAGCCGATGCCACGACGACAATGTCTCAGTTGTGGCCCCAGGGACATGCATGTACGTCACAGTATGGCGAGTCATGTTGTTTACACAGGTTGTGTTGACTATGATATATCCTACATTCGTCGTTGACGTTTTGCATTATTGCTTGTAATACTCAAACTTCCACAGAGTTTCAATACTGTATCCTTCAAAGCAAGAGACTCCTTGGATGACTAAAGAAAGACTATCAGTCTATCATTGATCTGTTTTCCTAAACCTTCTCTTTCCTTGGAAAGATATAACTGGAATGTCATAGAAGCAATACCTTACTGGCAACATATAGGGTAAGCCTTAGGGAACAAGAAAACATTAGACATTGGTATCATATGTCAAGACAAACTCCGTAAAGTTATCCTAAGCCTACATACTACACTTATACCAAGTTATCCAAGTCTTTTTTGTCACTTACGAGCGAGGTTTTGAGTTTTCTTTCCTCCCCTAAGTCGGGTATAAGTGGACGAGGTACATCATCATCCGATAGCTAACTTAAGGTAGTTACAAACCCTCAACTCGATCGTACCCGGGACCAATTATGAGGAAGGATATCAAGACTTCACCTAGCTTCAAGATATACCGACAGAAGATGAAATGTCAAGTTGAATTGACAGATGAAACCAATAAACGGACGTCCGTCTGTCCATCCGCCGCTCAGCTCCGCTGCATCCCGCGCCGGCCTGCATATCCTCCGATTATGCCGCACACCGAATGGAATCACCTCCGCCAGCGGGACTGCTAGAAGCGGTAACGCACAGCTGTACCTATCCCTAGCAGTCGGGCGCCGGGAGATGCAGAGATTGACGCCATTGCGTGACGGCATGGTGGCATTTCCGGTCTCGGTCAAGGGCCAAAGTGAGCAGACAACCACTGTCACAGCATAATTTTTTTTAAAGTGGTCCTGTCCAGGGCTGAGTGTATTGTTAGCGGCATGGTAGTCCAAAACGCCGAAGGGTATATTCGGCCTGGACCTCGTTTTCTTTGTTATAAATGGTCCAAGGATACTGAGCCAGCTCTTTCGTGGCCGACAGCGGACTAATGTACGTAAAAAGTTTTCCTATGCCAAAGGTGTCACGTCCGCAATGTTCCCACTCCCACGTTCATGTATGTAGTGTAAATGCGACTCAGAGCCGCAAGGGTACCCTGAGCGAATGCTCTATTTACTTGTAGATGCCCTCTGATTCGGCAGTGAAGGCATCGAATATCCAGGGTGAGTCAGTTTGCGGAAGTCGGTAGACGTTTATTTGCCTGAATTCTGGTGCTGCATCCGGCCCGTCGCGACCTGAATTGTCAGCACTGGTTAGACTGGAGTCATCTCATCATACTAAGGTTGCCCAGCTCATACGTAGATTTTGGTGGCATCATAAAACCAATTGACTCCCCTCCTGATCATCTGAGTTTCTTCCTAGTATTCTAATTTCTCAACACACCATAATCTCTCCCTTTCTTAGACAGCGGGCAATAATTTGATACCTCCTCTGTTCACAATCAATCGATCTTACCTAGCTCTCCAATTGCTCCCTCTGGATCCAAACTCCCCGCTGTTTTACGACCCCTCCACCCTTCTCCAACAACACCACACCGACCGCGACCGTCGACACATTTCATCATGGCGCCAGCTCCTCAAAACATCGCCAGCAACCTCTCTTCTGCTGCTAAGCGCGGCGAGGTCTCTCACAGCTGGGATAAGAACGTGGCCACCTCGCCGCTCGCTTCTTTCCAGTCTCCTCCCAGCTGGACCGCCAACCTCCCTAACCGTGGCGCGCCCAAGAACTTGAAGCCTTTCAACACCAAGGATATCAAGATTCTACTTCTCGAGAACGTCAATGTCACCGGTCAGGAGATCCTGAAGGCCCAGGGCTACCAGGTCGAGGCCCTCAAGACCTCCCTCCCCGAGGACCAGCTCATTGAGAAGATTCGGTGAGTTCGCAAAAATACCCCGCCATCCCTCAACTTTTTTTTTTGTGAAGTTGTGCAATGCCCCTCCATCGAAGGGTTCACAAATGCCCCTCGCCCATGAGCTCCATGCACCCCACCATGAATACTAACAAATGGTGATCATAGTGACGTCCAAGTCATCGGTATTCGCTCCAAGACAAAGCTCACCGAGAAGGTCCTCCGACAGGCCGAGAACCTCCTCGTCATCGGTTGCTTCTGTATTGGCACCAACCAGGTCGACCTCGAGTTCGCCGCCAAGAATGGTATCGCCGTCTTCAACTCCCCCTTCGCCAACTCGCGCAGTGTCGCTGAGTTGGTCATCGCCGAGATCATCGTTCTTGCCCGTCAGCTTGGCGATCGATCCAACGAGATGCACCGAGGCACCTGGAACAAGGTCAGCTCCAAGTGCTGGGAGATTCGAGGCAAGACTCTGGGTATTGTTGGCTACGGTCACATTGGTTCTCAGCTGTCCGTCCTCGCTGAGGCTATGGGCATGAACGTCATCTACTACGATGTTGTTACCCTGATGGCTCTGGGAACTGCCAACCAGGTTCCTACACTTGAGAAGCTCTTGGGTGAGGCTGACTTTGTCACCCTCCACGTCCCTGATCTCCCCGAGACACGCAACATGATCTCTACCCCCCAGTTCGAGCAGATGAAGTCTGGTGCCTACCTGATCAACGCCAGCCGTGGTAGCGTTGTCGATATTCCCGCCCTTATCAAGGCTAGCCGTGCTGGCAAGGTTGCTGGTGCTGCTCTTGATGTCTTCCCCGCCGAGCCCGCTGCCAACGGTGACTACTTCACCAACGACCTCAACGCCTGGGGCGAGGACCTCCGAAGCTTGAGGAACCTCATCCTGACACCTCACATTGGTGGTAGCACCGAGGAGGCTCAGCGTGCCATTGGTATCGAGGGTAAGTGCACACTTAGAACATCACATTGAACTCATCACTAACATCCACGTAGTCAGCGAGGCTCTGGTTCGCTACATTAACCAGGGTATCACTCTGGGCAGTGTCAACATCCCCGAGGTCCAACTCCGTTCGCTGACTTCCGACGAGCCCGATACCGCTCGTGTAAGTCCATGCCGAAACCCGAATTTGACATACTCAATACTGATCCAAAATCATAGGTCATCTTCATTCACCGAAACGTTCCTGGTGTGCTCCGAAAGGTCAACGAGATTCTCGGCGACCACAACGTCGACAAGCAGATTTCCGACAGCAGAGGCGACAACGCCTACCTCATGGCTGATATTAGCAGTATCAAGTATGAACAGATCAAGGACATCTACGACAGCCTCGAGGCTCTTAGCGGTAAGTCGAGTCAAGTGAGACAAGCTCAATGCCATAAACTGACAGTTCGCGCACAGCTCGCATCATGACCCGTATCCTGTACTAAGAAAAGAGGCATGGACCACTTGGTGGTCGTGAGGTTCAACCCTTACCCTTGAACTACCACAACTTAGCAAAAAGAAACGCGATGCGACCAACAACCGCACGGGACTTTGAATGCATGGAGAAGGGGGAAATAAAGGGGGCGGGCCCGTTCGTTTTGATCCGGTCCTTGATTCCCGGACGCGGTTGACGCATTGATGCATTGGCTAAGGTCAATGAAGGCATGAGCAATTCAAATCTCCATGACGCGACTTGACGATCGTGGCTGGAGGAGGTTTTGCTACGGATGATGCAAGAAGAGTCGGAAACGCCAGATATGGGTACGTACTCCATTCTTGAGCGTGGATCAAATCAAAAGGGGGCTGGTTTTTGCGGCTGGTGCTTGATTAAGTTAAGGTAAAAGCTCGCAAACCGACTGGTTGGGCTAGTCGGTGGCACTGTATGGAGTAATATGGCATGGATGAATTCAACGAACAGAAACATTTGAGCTTCAACGCAACTTAGAATACCAAAATAGGATCAATCCGGTGCGAATCGAGAGGGAGCACCCCGAGGGACCCATAGACCATCACTTTGTTGACCTTTATGTACCTCTCTCTGTACTCTGACTCTGTAGACTAACTTCAGGTCCGCGTAAGGGCTGAGATAAGCATGCATAGAGTTCGTTAACTGTTGGCGTAAGCTGCAGAGCTGCTTGATGTCAAACCATGGCTTGTCGATAATAAAATGTTGGGGATATGAGGTGCATTTGCATAGCCGTGTGGTTGCCGAGACCTAAGTTCGGACCTGAAGAAGATTATGTACCTTCGGAATTCGAGGTTGATTCTGTGATACCCTCGGCGAACAAGCTCCTCCGAGCTCTGGCTTTTACGATTGAACCTCGCTGATCCTTCAAAAATGTCCTTGATGGACTCAGTTCCTAGTCTTGGGGTTATGGTGGGGATATATTAATCGGCTACTAGGGTTCAAGAATTCCCCAGTATTTTTTGGAATTGGCATCTCCTTTTTGGGTGATCGGGCCTTGTTCATCAATGTCACCGGCGGGTTTCATCTTTGGGCTTGTAAATTGACTATTGAAGCCTGAGAGAATTGGTTCATGATGATTGGTATGTCGACTCTAACGAGCCATGGCATTGTGATCTCTGTCTTTCAGAACACTAAGTGAAACTTCAAGTATTCTAGGAGTATACACGCATTGTGTCCGGTAACTGCACAGTCCCCATACGCATAGCTTTTGTGATCGTTACTGCAAATACAGTCGGTGAAGTTGTATCAAGACAGTGCGATTTTCGATCTCGGAGCGTTTGATCGTCAAATGTCAATTAAGGGGCCTGCGGCGTAACATTTTTTGAGCGTTAGCTCCAACAAACGACCCCCAATAATTCCTTTGTATCTGTCCTCAGTGACAGTCACAGTCTCACCACGGGTTGATGTATGTTCATGTCCAGTTCCGTGGCATGGCATGGTAGAGCATGACAGACACAGTGTCGACTCAATTCCAAGAGCTATCTGTAGGAAAATGCATGCATTTGTCCTTCGCTTGCTTCTCACCCCAGATCCCAAGGACGACAAGACAAGGTCGAAGACGCGGACGGGTCGGCCCCTCATTGGCTCGCGGGAGTGTCCAGGTAGAGAGAGCCCCTAATTCTTCTGAAGCCAGGAGCTTCCAGGAACTGGAAAGGCTGGGTGGGCGTCGTAGAGTTCGAGGTATTTAAAACGATCTTGATTGGTATTCCGATGGTGGTGATGCACTGAAGAAATACCAATGGCTGAGCCCCTAGGTACTGCAATCCTCTAACAGCGAATGCCCCGCCCCCCTGTTCCTCGACCTCCAACGTGCGTGCCCCGTGCGGCTCCAGTGTCCATCCGGCCCTTTCAATCAGGAGCAAAACGCGTGCTGGCATCACCGACCGCATCTATAACTTTTGACCTACTCTTCAAGGTATTTTCCTTTTGCCTTGTGCGATCACTTAATCTTGCTCGACCTCTTTTTTTGTCGGCGAGTTCTTTGTGTCCTTGTGTGGGAAGTGAGAGGAAGAGTTGTACAAAGCTCGTTTCTCCCGCCCTTTTCAAGTTCAGGGTCCTTTTCTACCGCCCACCTTCACCCACCGTACTTTGGATTACGGGGCACCGGTGTACCCAAAAGTTGGACGATTTGCGCAGAGCATCCAACAACCGACACCTTCAACGATCCAAGATCGCATAACGCCTCTTTGCCTTTGTCATCAGCGGCGTTTTGACGACCACAATCTTTCCCCGGCAGGCCCCGTTGCTTCATATACCAACAGCTGCTGGCGAATGTCTGCTTCCTACCGCCATTCAGCCCCTTAGCACAATATTTGACGATACCGCTTCGACATAGCCGCATTCGCCTCCTGTTGCTTCACAAACCGGCCTTGCGCCCGGTCATATCGCCATCATGGCATCGGCCTACGAGGTTGGCACAAGAGCCTGGCAGCCAGACACTGCCGAGGGTTGGGTTGCTTCGGAGCTTATCAACAAGACCGTTGATGGGCCCAAAGTCAAGCTGACCTTTCAGCTTGAGAATGGCGACGTGAGTTTTCCCTTTAAATGTGTTCAATGATGCCATTGGCACTATCTGTTTGGGATCACGAAACTGACAGGATGTGTCTCATATAGACCAAAGATATCGAGGTCACCGCGGAGGCCCTACAGAGCGGTAACGACCCGTCTCTGCCCCCTCTGATGAACCCGACAATGCTCGAAGCCAGCGACGATCTTACAAATTTGTCCCATCTTAACGAACCTGCTGGTATGTCAAACACAAGATTACTTGCCATGGTATTTGGACAATAGTGCTGATACCCCGTAGTTCTTCAGGCAATTCGATTACGATACTTGCAAAAGGAGATCTACACCTACAGTGGTATCGTCCTCATTGCCACCAACCCTTTCGCACGAGTCGATTCGCTCTACGTTCCCGGCATGGTACAGGTTTATGCTGGAAGACAGCGAGCGACACAAGCTCCCCACTTGTTCGCTATTGCTGAAGAGGCCTTCATGTAAGCATGCACTTTCACATGCCAACCCAACTCCATACTGACATGAAGCTCAGGGACATGGTTCGCGACAAGAAGAACCAGACAGTAGTTGTCTCCGGAGAGTCTGGTGCTGGCAAGACTGTCAGTGCCAAGTACATCATGCGATACTTCGCTACCAGAGAGTCACCCGACAACCCTGGTGGACGCTCTAAACGAGGAGCCGAGTCCATGAGTGAGACGGAAGAGCAGATCCTTGCGACTAACCCTATCATGGAAGCGTTCGGTAACGCCAAGACGACTCGAAACGATAACTCGTCACGATTCGGAAAGTACATTGAGATTATGTTTGACGAGCACACAAATATCATCGGTGCCAAGATCAGGACATACCTTCTCGAGCGTTCTCGATTGGTTTTCCAGCCCCTCAAGGAGCGAAACTACCACATTTTCTACCAGCTTGTCGCTGGTGCGTCAGAGCAACAGCGTGAGGAGCTTAACCTGCTACCTATCGAGGAGTTCGAGTACCTGAACCAAGGAAACTGCCCAACAATCGACGGTGTGGACGACAAGGCCGAGTTCGAGGCCACCAAGAAGTCTCTGTCAACAATTGGCGTCACAGATGCCCAGCAAGCTGACATCTTCAAGCTGCTGGCTGGTCTTCTGCATCTCGGAAACGTGAAGATCACTGCATCGCGCAACGATAGTGTTTTGGCCCCCAACGAACCTTCTTTGGAGCGAGCTTGTGCCATTCTTGGTGTCAAGGCCGAGGAGTTTTCCCGATGGATCGTCAAGAAGCAGCTCGTTACCCGTGGTGAGAAGATCACCTCCAACCTCAGCCAAGCGCAAGCCATCGTTGTTCGAGATTCCGTTGCCAAGTTCATCTATTCAAGCTTGTTCGACTGGCTTGTCGATGTCATCAACCATAGTTTGGCTGCTGAGGAAGTGTTGAACAGAGTTGTCTCATTTATTGGTGTTTTGGATATTTATGGTTTCGAGCATTTCGCCAAGAACTCTTTCGAACAGTTCTGTATTAACTATGCCAACGAAAAGCTCCAGCAGGAATTCAACCAGCACGTCTTCAAGCTGGAGCAGGAGGAATACCTCAGGGAAGAGATTGACTGGACCTTCATCGACTTCTCCGATAACCAGCCTTGTATCGACCTGATTGAGGGTCGCATGGGTATTCTGTCTCTGCTTGACGAAGAGTCTCGTCTTCCTATGGGTTCTGATGAACAGTTCGTTACTAAGCTTCACCACAACTTTACTCCCGACAAGCACAAGTTCTACAAGAAGCCTCGATTTGGCAAGTCTGCTTTCACCGTTTGCCATTATGCCATCGACGTTACCTACGAATCCGAGGGCTTCATTGAGAAGAACCGAGATACCGTCCCTGACGAGCACATGGCTGTCCTGCGTGCCACAAGCAACGAGTTCTTGAAGACTGTTCTTGACGCTGCCTCAGCTGTACGAGAAAAGGATGCCGCCTCATCAAGCTCCAGCTCCGTTAAGCCCGCCGCTGGTAGGAAGATCGGCGTGGCTGTCAACAGAAAGCCCACTCTGGGAGGTATTTTCCGATCTTCGCTCATCGAGCTCATGAGCACTATCAACAATACTGATGTACACTACATCCGATGTATCAAGCCTAATGAGGCCAAGGAGGCATGGAAGTTTGAGGGACCTATGGTTCTTAGCCAGCTTCGTGCTTGTGGTGTCCTCGAGACGGTTCGCATTAGTTGTGCTGGTTACCCTACTCGTTGGACGTATGAGGAGTTTGCCCTCCGTTACTACATGCTTGTGAAGTCTGATCAATGGACTTCGGAAATCCGCGAGATGGCCGATGCTATTCTTAAGAAGGCTCTCGGAACAAGTAGCAGCAAGGGTATGGACAAGTATCAGCTTGGTCTCACCAAGATTTTCTTCCGAGCTGGTATGCTTGCTTTCCTGGAGAACCTCCGCACAACTCGACTCAACGACTGTGCTATTATGATCCAGAAGAACTTGAGAGCCAAATACTACCGACGACGCTATCTTGACGCCCGTGAGGCCATTGTTATGACTCAGTCTGCTATCAGGTCATGGAAGGCCAGGAAACAAGTCCAGGAGCTACGAACTATCAGGGCTGCCACTACCATCCAGCGAGTCTGGAAGGGATCTAAGCAACGCAAGGCCTATCAACAAATCCGGAAAGATATGGTTCTCTTCGAGTCTGCCGCCAAGGGATATCTCCGACGAAAGAACATTATGGAGGAACGTCTCGGCAATGCTGCTCTCAAGATCCAGCGTTCTTGGAGATCACGAAGACAATTACGAGCCTGGAGGCAATACCGCAACAAGGTTGTCCTCATCCAGAGCTTGTGGCGCGGAAGAAGTGCTCGAAAGGACTATAAGAAGATTCGTGAGGAGGCTCGTGACTTGAAGCAGATTTCTTACAAGCTTGAAAACAAGGTCGTCGAGTTGACACAGTCTTTGGGCTCAATGAAGGAGAAGAACAAGGGTCTGGCTTCGCAAGTGGAAAACTACGAAGGACAGATCAAATCGTGGAAGAAGCGACACAACGACCTCGAAGCCCGAACCAAGGAGCTTCAGACAGAAGCCAACCAGGCTGGTATCGCGGTCGCCCGCCTACAAGCTATGGAAGACGAGATGAAAAAGCTTCAGATTGCCTTCGACGAGTCAACGGCCAACATCAAGAGGATGCAAGAGGAGGAGAGAGAACTCAGGGAATCTCTGCGAGCTACAAATTCAGAGTTGGAGACAGCAAGAAGGTCAAGCACGCAACACGAGAAGGACAACATGAGTCTCAGACAGGAGCTGGAGTCTCTGCGGGATGCCCTCGAGCTGGCTCGAAGGAATGCCCCCATCAACGGAGAGCTTGCCAACGGTACCACGCCTGCAGCCGCAGCACCTGCAGGTCTCATCAACCTCGTCTCGTCCAAGAAGCCTAAGCGTCGGAGTGCCGGTGCGGAACCACGGGAGCTTGATCGCTTTAGCGGTACTTATAACCCTCGGCCGGTTTCCATGGCTGTTACTGGCACGGCGCATCGTCAGAACCTTTCTGGCTCGACCTTCCTACCTGGCGTTGATAATATCGAGATGGAACTTGAGACGCTTCTTGCGGACGAGGATGGCCTCAATGAGGAGGTAACAATGGGATTGATCCGAAACCTCAAGATCCCCTCACCAAGCAGCACCCCTCCTCCTTCGGACAAGGAGGTGCTCTTCCCTTCATATCTCATCAACTTGGTTACATCAGAGATGTGGAACAACGGCTTTGTGAAGGAGTCGGAACGTTTCTTGGCCAACGTGATGCAGTCCATCCAACAGGAGGTGATGCAGCACGACGGCGACGAGGCCATCAACCCCGGCGCCTTCTGGCTGTCCAACGTCCACGAGATGTTGTCGTTTGTATTCCTCGCCGAGGACTGGTATGAGGCTCAGAAGTCGGACAATTATGAGTACGATCGTCTTCTGGAGATCGTCAAGCACGATCTTGAGAGCTTGGAGTTTAACATCTACCACACTTGGATGAAGGTGTTGAAGAAGAAGTTGCATAAGATGATTATTCCCGCCATCATCGAGTCCCAGTCTCTCCCTGGTTTCGTTACCAACGAAAGCAGCCGATTCTTGGGCAAGCTCCTGCAATCGAACTCAACCCCCGCTTACAGCATGGACAACCTGCTCAGCTTGCTGAACAGCGTCTTCCGTGCCATGAAGGCCTACTACCTGGAGGACTCCATTATTACACAGACCATCACTGAGCTTCTGCGATTGGTGGGTGTGACAGCGTTCAATGACCTGCTCATGCGACGAAACTTCCTCTCATGGAAGCGTGGTCTCCAGATCAACTACAACATCACCCGTATCGAGGAGTGGTGCAAGAGCCACGACATGCCCGAGGGTACGCTCCAGCTGGAGCATCTGATGGTAAGCTCTACGTACTCGCTAAGTCAAGGACAAGGCTAACAACTGCACAGCAAGCAACCAAGCTTCTTCAACTCAAGAAGGCCACCCTGAATGACATAGAAATCATTCAGGACATCTGCTGGATGTAAGTAGTGATACTAATCTGGTCTAAACTCGCATACTAATTACTATAGGCTATCACCAAACCAGATCCAGAAGCTGCTCAACCAATACTTGGTTGCCGATTACGAGCAGCCTATCAATGGCGAGATCATGAAGGCTGTTGCCTCGCGCGTGACGGAGAAGAGCGACGTTCTTCTCCTACAAGCCGTCGATATGGACGACAGTGGCCCTTACGAGATCGCCGAGCCTCGAGTCATCACTGCGCTTGAGACTTATACTCCATCTTGTAAGTAACACGAACAACCTACTACAGGCACTGTAAGCTAACTCACCTCAGGGCTCCAGACTCCTCGTCTCAAGAGGCTAGCCGAGATCGTGTCGGCACAAGCCATTGCACAGCAAGAGAAGTTCGACTATACTGATGGCGAAGATTACGAAGACGGGCAGCCACAACATCATGAGCTGGCCGGCGTTGATGAGGTGGAAACAGAGTCGTAGGGGATAATGACAAGGCATTTCGAACGCACATAAGGGATAGAAGCCGCATTTTCACGGTGTTTGATATCGAATTTTCTAATGGCGGCGTGTAACTGAAAACAGATCTGAGGGAAGAAGGGTATTCTCCTTGAATCTGGACGGCATCATGTATACTGAGCGAGAACATATTCCACCTCTCCGCAAGCCGGTGAGGAAGGATATTTATACTCGACTCTATTTTGTAAGATGAGATACGGCTGTATTGGAGAGTCCGAGAGATGAGAGTACGAAGCGATATCGTGGTTATTTATTCACTACTCAAGTGCTATTGCATTGAAGATATTATCATCTGTGACTGTTGGTTGAAGTGGTAATGCAACTATCGAATCTACCGCCTCTTTAGTTGCATGGAATTTCTCTGCATAGCAACATTTTGAAGGTTACCCAACCTGAAGAGCCCATCAATTTCTGCAACCTTGTATACAGACGACAAAGCAGCCAAAATGACCACACGAAAACTGCCTAATATCATCATTACGGGCACGCCCGGTGTCGGAAAGACGACTCACTGTGAAGCTCTCGCGGAGCGAACTGGACTGCGCCATCTCTCAGTGAACCAAGTTGTGAAGGACAAGGAGTGTCATGAGGGTTGGAGTGATGAGTTTCACAGCTTCATTGTGGATGAGGACAAGGTATGAGACTGATATATTGTCCAGAACTGTTTGGAGATGAACACGGGTTCTGGAGAGTATGGCGAGAATTTGTGCTGATATTATTACAGTTACTAGATGCTATTGAGGACGATGTCAAGGCTGGTGGATGCATTATTGACTGGCACGCCTGTGATCTGTTCCCCAAGAGCTGGATAGATCTGGTTGTTGTGCTTCGAGTTGACTCATCTACACACTACGATCGTCTCATCACAAGGTACGTTGCTCATTACACAGCTCTTGTCATTGCTTGATCATAGAACCACACATTTACTGACTCTGTAATCCAGAAACTACCCCGAGTCCAAGCTCCAAGAAAACATCGACTCTGAAATCATGCAAGTTCTCCTCCAAGAAGCTCACGAGGCTTTCGATGAGGAGATTGTTATTGAATTGACTAGCAACACATCTGATGAGATGGACACAAACGTTGATCGTATAGTGGCTTGGCTGGATCAGTGGAAGAAGGATAACGACGAAGAATAACCAATCTTCATATACAACATAAAAGGGATGGATATTTGCTACAGGGTGTTACTACAAAAAGTCTTTAGCTATGGGCGTGGGATATTTTGCAGCGTGGACTCGGTTGGTGAAAATAGATTTTTAGATGCAAGCCTAGGGCAGGCTATGAATTGACATGAATCGTTCTACTGGTGGTTCCGTGCTGAGTAAGTGCATATTTTGATGGGCAAACAATCACAGTTATAGTGGGGAGCCTACTATTCAGCTCGATTATCTCCAGCTGCTATCTCTCTTTCAAAGTCACTTCTGTCAGTAAATTTTCTACTTTGCTTTGGTCAAAATGGCTGCACACAAGGTCAACTTCATCACCGGCAACGCCAACAAGTTGCGCGAGGTCAAGGCCATTCTCGAACCTGAAATCGAGGTTCTGAGCAAATCTATCGATCTCGAAGAGGTTCAGGGCACACTTGAAGAGGTTACGGAGTCAAAGTGCCGTAGAGCTGCTGATCTGGTACGTAAACTATCTTATCTATCCTACAAACGCTTGAAAGAAATGAAAGTGCTCAATAATAAAATACAGGTCAAAGGCCCCGTGCTGGTTGAAGATACGGCTCTGTGCTATAACGCTCTGAGCGGTCTTCCTGGACCTTACATGTGAGATTTGATGCTAAAACGCTGGGAAATATGAATGCTGATGTGATGGCTGTAAAGCAAGTGGTTTATGACTTCGATCGGTCACCAGGGCTTGAACAACCTGTTGGCTGCTTACACTGATAAGTCCGCTGAGGCTGTGTGCACTTTTGGGTACTGTGCTGGACCTGGTGAGAAGGTCATTCTGTTCCAAGGCCGTTGCCCTGTAAGAAACCCTCGAGTCCATTCAACCTGACTGTGCTGATATGTGATACAGGGCAAGATTGTGCCTCCCCGTGGACCTCCCGATTTCGGTATGTGCTGTGAAAAGAATACATAGAGTACATGCTGACATATGAATAGGATGGGATGCCGTCTTTGAGTATGAGGGTCAAACGTATGTAAAGTTCGAACCCGAACGATGATCTTTGCTAACTCTCGTAGCTTTGCTGAGATGGACAAGGCGGAGAAGAACAAGATCTCCCACCGTGGTCGAGCTCTGGCCAAGCTTCAGGCTTGGTTCAAGGACCAGCAGTAGATTGCAGTGAACTACGATACAGTAGCATACTTTGTGAGGCTAGAGTCTTATAAGTATAAAGGTCAGATGCAGTCAAGAACGGGACTACTTACTAGAGCACTTCATACTGGTTGTACTTGCGAAAGTAGTGAGAGCCACGACGATATGGCTGTAAGAAACTGTCGACCGAAGAGGGCTTCTGACGAACCGTTCTGCCGATGAGGTTTCTGACTTTTGTAGAATCACGAAAACTGGGATCGAATACTAATAGATTCGCTTGACCGTCCATTTGCTTCTCGAAGCCGACGATTGTCAAAGAGTGGCCTGTCTGCGTTTAGTGTCTGGTAAGGATGCTGATGGTATGAGATGTTCTTACCTGGGTGTTGTAGATAGATCGGTGGCAGGTCCGTATGATGGATTCGGTCTTCAACGCTTGTGATACCTCCTCGAAAGTATCCTTCGATAGCTTCAAAGAGACGTTGTTTCGACTTGCCGCGTTCCTGATCCTTAAATGCTTGAACGGAGCAACTGTCACTGTTAGTTGCCTGTTGAGTTTCTTATGGTGGTAAACTTACGGTATCTCCAAGCTGAGAAACACAGCCTGTGCCTGGTTCTTGTTAGTCAACTGACTTCATGTAAGAAGAGATGTTGTATACCTCTGGTGTACCAATGTATTTTCTCGTCCCCTTGATGCCTCCAGTCTCTGCTCTTCCTTGGGCATTGATACCTATGTCCCAGGCATTTTCAATGAGGTCTTGGATCTGAAAGATTGTAGGAAACGTGCGCCCAAAGTGATTTGAACCTTCTCTTGGAGCAGCGATTATGTTTGAAGTGAGCATCTGGATATTTCGATAGCCACAGAAACCGCCTGTCACTCGTTAGACACCCCAGATTACACAGCATTTGTCGACTCACCTTCTCGTCTCAATTTGGAAACATGTTGCACCGCAGGGTGACACAAGTAGGCTTCCTGTGTTGAAGGACTTTGCTCAAGAAGCTGACTTAGAACCGGTAGAACACCTGAAACCGTTAGCCGCTGATGGGCAACGTTACTAGAAAGTACTCACCATCGTTGACAACCTGACCTTCATCCTTAAGAAGGTCTACGAGCCAAGGGGGCATCTTTCTCTCATGCGCAAACCTACCAAGATCGGACTTCTACTCTCGTGTTAGTCACTTACATCACAAGTATCAGGAATCATGTGATATCTCACCCCCAGACGAACGTTGGATTTAGCTCGATCGCCATTTTTATCGCGACTTGAAGAGCCTCTGCTGGCAGTCTTGGTGATACCGGCATCCTCTCTCTTGGTCTTGTGCCGTGTCCTACTACTGCTACCGTTACTCTCCCTCCCGTGAGAGCTACGCCCGGAAAAGAGGTCCTTCCAGGCCTGGATAGGGCTGACTTTCTTGTGCTTCCGGTCTCTGTCTCTAGACGACGACTCCGGCTTCCGAGCCACAGTGGGAGTCTGTTCCGGCTCTGGTACTGGCGCTGGTTCGGGCATGGGCGTGGCGTCCTGCGCCTCGAGCTCGTGAAGCTCGAGATGATAAGCTAGCTCGTCCAGCCGAAGGATCTCACCGCAACCTTCTGGACACTCAATAGTGTCTCCGGAGTTGGTGGGTGGTGGTCCGTCAGCGTCTGGGTGTTGCTGCTCTATGTGCTAGTCAAGGGGAAGAATGTCTTAGTCTCAGCTAAACTCAAGTCAAGCGGTGGGAAAGAAAAGATCAGTGAGAGAAACACACTAGAATGAGTTCATATTCGTCTTGGCCCGGCTTGAAGCCGCAGAAGGGGCAAGGATCCGAGTTGGACATGGTTGATTATTTCATGAATTAAGACGAGGGAGGAGATGAGACAAGGTTGAGTTTAGGAACGAAGTGAGAGTTGTTTCAAATGCGAGATGGAGAATAAGTTTCTATGAGTCTATGAGTTATCAAGTGCAGCAATGTTTTTGGCTGTGGCAGAGTGAATACAAGAACAAAGAAAGAGTTGAGTGCGGTGAGAGAGTGTGAGTGAGAGTGATTCAGTGTGAACCCGTGAGTGAGGCTGTGAAGGCGGTACACGTACCACGTCGCACGTCTCCAGGGTCTCACAGCGTATTCAAAGGTCAAATCACGGGAAGGGCACAGCCTAAGAAATGCAGCCATTCAACTGTAGCTTCAACAACACCAACCACTATATTTGAGTCCTATAATAGTATTTACGGATACATACTCAAAATGCAAACACAGCAAATGCATATAGAGCAATGCCAAGTCAGTCAGTCACATACCACATGGCACAACGTCAGTACCACAACAAAGACCGCGGATCTCTCGATAGCGCCCGGATGATACCCTATTGCATTTGTATAGCGGGACCATCCGAATAGAGTCAAGTTCCCGTCCAAACGGATCTCACAGTAACATACAGCACAGTACAGTACATACAAGAGACAGACCGCTCTCATGGAGGGAGGGAGGGATTTAAAGAACTAAAGCAAGTTAGGTAGCCAAACTAACAAAGCATCATGAATTGTTGGGAACCAATTATCAACGACACCGAGAATCTGGTGCCTTGGATTTGTTCTAGAAACTCGCTCTAGACAAGGTACGTATCGGTAGTTGCAGCTCGATACATCCTTGCAAGTGTCACTCAATCCCTTCTATCAGTCAGACATTCAAGCGGTCATGAATCAGGACATTCACCAAGCAAAGTCGACTAGTCAGTCAGAGTCAGAAAGTACAGTACAACAGATATTTTCTAATAGTAAGCAACCAAGCAACCAATCCCAAAAGCCTCCTGTCCTGACCTGGACCCCTCCATTGATTTGAACCATGTACTCTAGTTGTTAAGGCAGGCAAAACAAGAAAGAAAATAACACACCAAAAACTTGGGTAGTTAGACATCGACATGGTACCACTTGACACACCCTTTCCGATAGAATAGACAGCAACGGAGAATTTAACCAAAAGAGGGCACCCTATTCAGGGCCCTTGTTGTCTCAGCCCCGAATCACCTTGTGACCCCTGTGACTGAGACTGTGACTATGACTGCCACCCATCGTGGGACGGCCTGGCTTGGTCTGGCCTGGCCTGGTCAGAACTTGTGGACCGCCCCGCGGCCTGAGAAGACTTGAATCGTCATCGCGATCGTGATTGTCTGGCAAAATGATAATCATGCCTCTTTGAACAGCATTCGCAATTGTTTGTTTACATCAGAATGCAATTGCTCTTGGCCGGAGCCTCGCCTGGGTTCTGTGACTTCTCAATCTGTCCGATCAAGAGCTCGAAAGCCTTGCCGACGTTCTCGTTGTATCGCGCGCTCGCCTCGGTCCAGCCGCATTGTATCTTCTCCGACAGCTTCTGTCCATCTTCGGGTGTCACCTGTCGTTGCTCGGGGCGCAAGTCGCTCTTGTTGCCGACGATGCAGATGGGGACCGACTCGGTGCCCTAACATTCGTGGTTCAGCTTATGGGCTGCTTGTTTCGGGTTCTGGGAGGACTTACCAGGTGGTTGAGGATCTTCTCACGAATAACTTGCACCATCTCGAAGGATGGCAGTGATGATACTGAGTAGACGAGCATGTAGCCATGGATGCCGATAAAGTGCTTGGAGTTGAGAATGCTGTACTCGTCCTGGCCCGCTGTGTCGACGATCTCGGTTGAGTAATCTTGGCCCTTGTACTTGATCATCTTGCTGAAGGTATTCTCAATCGTAGGATAGTAGCTGTCGACGAAGTGGCCATCGACGAACCGCACGGCTAGAGACGACTTGCCTGTGATGCATCCATCGTCAGCAAATGTAATTGAGCAATCGGGATTAAATCGCCATCTGTTGAATGAACACTCCAAAATGAGAAATACTGACCGACAGAGCGGCTGCCGACAATAGCGACCTTTCTTTGCTTGGGAGAAGGCATCGTGCTACAACGTTGAGTGGCAATGAATCAAAGTGAAACAGCGTCAGGTTCTTCGTTGTTGAACCTAAAGTTGAGTGTTGGCGCCCGAAAGGAGTAAAAGATTGGGCGTACAGCAACTGAGACCAACAGCGGGCAAAAAAATAAGATGATGGGAGAAAAAGAGAGCGAGGGGGAAAAAGAGGCTCGTTGATGACGATGGTGAATGTATGATGTGTAACTTTAGTACAGTGCCTCAGCTGGGGGGTATATGGTATCCGTAGGCAAAAAGGGCCTGGAACTTTAGGTGCCCGTACTCACGTCAGTCAAATCAAATCAGCTCAGACCAGATGCTAGACTACGGATACAGGTCTTGAATGCAGTAAAAAAAGGAGCCAATCTTTTTTAGGTCATTCCTGATGGGCACCTCAGGAACTGTAACTCTACTCTACTGCACTGCACTCACTGCAAGCCCCCGCCCTCCAAGAA